CCCTCAGCTGCTCAATCTTTCCATGACATCACCTCTGCCTCCATCTCTGGTGTCGTCCATAGAGTTTTGAATGGCTGATCACCAGGCCTTTCTTTGGAGGCACCTCTGAATGCACTAAAACCTCCACGTTTTCAGTTAGTCATCAAGTGTCTCTACTGTTTGCACTATCCAAGGACGCTTTCTTGCATCTATCTGCCATGAAACAATAATAGATTCAAGGAAATTAGTTTAGTATTCTGTAATAATGACCAATCTTCATGACAAAAATGTGACAATCCCTCTTTGTGACAATTTAAATGACAACAAAATAGCATCACATTGGAAATTAATGAAACATAATTCCATTTAGTATCTAAATAACTACCCAGCCACATCCACATATCTTATTAAAATCTTTCAAATGCTGACAAAAGCTCTTTTCAAAAATCATAGTGTCGTAGGAAGAAGAAAAGAAATCAGCCAACTGAATTATATTTTTCATTGTGTATTTCAGTGTTATAAGGAAAATAAGAGAAGTAGAAAACTAAAAGAAGTTTCCATTTTAGGGGTCAACGTTGCCAAACAATGTAAAAGTACCACAACTCCTTGAAAAATCACCAACTCTGCCTTAATTTTAAGCCTGCTCTACTGACATCAATATTCAGAACTGAAGTGTTAGATGCCGGGGCACAGCTAACAGGAGAGTGAGCGCTTGACCCTTAAATGGAATTCACAGACATGACACTTTATTTTCTCAACATTTACCACCATTCACTGTGATGGTTAGATCATACACGAGGACCACTTAAAAGTAACATTTCATTTTTATCTGAAGGGAGCTTTCATAAAAGCCTTTCTATAACAAGTGTAGAGACTAAAAAGGGCAAAGGAAAGTCTAAGAATCCCTGAATTTACAATTGAGTTCAAGCCATTTATTGAGCACATACTACAGGAACCCAGGTAGGACTGGACAGATGGATGAGTTCCCAATCAAGTGGGGAGAGTCCCAGAGTTATACAGGCTATTGCAATTCCATATGCTAAGTGCTATGATTGACATTTACTCAAGACACAGATGAGGCACAGAGGAGAGCTTGTCCAACTCGGAAGGAAACTTGCCAATGGAGATCAATGGAAGCTTCTCAAAGAGGTGACTTTGAGCTAAGTCTTGGAGGATGAATATCATTAGTAAGTCAGGTTAAGAAGAGGTAGGGTTGTTTCACCCAGGATTCTCTGGTGATAGAACCTGGCATATGTTCAGGCTATTGCAATAAAAGTTATTGTTAGCTGCTGTCATGCCAGACCCAGTCGTACGTGTGTCACTGCCATGATTGGATGTGGATCAGATCATTGGGATCCACAAGGTTTTCAGAAGTACATCACCGCCAGGTCTTTCTTCTAGTCTATTTTTGTCTGGAAGCTCCCTGAAACCTGTTCAGCACCATGGCAACACACAAGCCTCCCCGGACAGATGGGGGTGGGGAGGTAACTGCCCATGAGCTGCACGGCTGGGAATTGACCTGGATCTCCTGCAGGGAAGATGAGGATTCTACTACTGAACTATCAATGCGCACTGGTCACGAAATTGAACAATATGAAATTGTGAGATTTGAGAAAACAATTTCATTTCGTTCAACCTAAGAGTGGTGCAGCATAAAGTGTCTCCTGGATACCACAAGGCATTTGGTATTGCTGGCATGCCCAGAGAGACATCAGAAGAGAGGCGATCTGAAGAAGGCACAAACTGAAGAACGCACAGGCCAGGTCAACCTCTTACCTGGGAATTCAAGTGGGGACAGACACAGACTGGGATTTCTCCAAGTCCTCAGATACTACTTAACGTACTAGGATTGCTTGTTGTCACCTATTGAGTTGGTTCTAATAGCAACACTGTATAGGGTTTCTGAGACTGGCAGGTGAGTTTGAATTGCTAACCTTGTGTTTAGCAGTCCAGTGCTTATCCTACAGTTGTTAAGTGCTGTTGAGTCGGTTCTAACTCATAGCGACCCTGCATAGGACTTCCAAGGAGTGGCTGGTGAGTTTGAACTGCTGACTTTGCAGTTCAAACTGACCTTGCAGTTGAGTGCTTATCCTACAGTGTCACACCTACAGCTAGGTATTTTTTAAAAAAAATATTAAATAAACTTTAAAACACCAAAGGAGAAATTAAGGAAAGTCTCCAAGACATTTTATTATCTATTATAATATGGTATTGTATGGCATTATAGAATAGGCACTGGAATGCTAACTGCAAGATCAGTGGTTCAAGCCCACCAGGTGCTCCTCAGAAACCCTAAACAGGGTCACTAAGAATTGGAGCTCATTTGACATCACTTAACAACAACAACATACCTCGTTAAAAATTACAACTATTTTCAAACCTTCCTAGTCCCTTCAATCTTTAACACAATTTGATAATACACATGCCATCTAATTATTTACAACCTTTTGAGCTGACTTAATCACTTCACATAAATCCATAAATAGTTGTACCAACAATTATATGATAATTGCTTCAAAGGCTAGAATGCATTTCACTGCATTCTTAAAACAGATAACCATCTTCTTTCATTCATTATGTCTGTATGTCTTTCTGTAAGTCATATAGGAAGAACTTTCCCTATTATAAATGACATTTTCATAAGCAACTTTCTACATGCAGTTTTTCTTATGTTTTCTTGGAGGTAAATTCTAAGTATGAGGTGCTGCTAGGTCAGAGGGCAGGGGCTATTTTCATGAATATTTTCTTAGCCATTTGCTACCCAGGTGGAAGCAAGCTTGGTACATACTGTTTTGCTCCAAGTGAGGCCTGTGGTGTGGTGTTGCTTGATGTATGCTTGTAGCTCATTCCAAATGTTCAAATATGACTTCACCCAATCCACATGGCGCAGGTCACTTTGTTATAAAGGAAGTAGGAGAGAGCAGAGTTAGCACAAAAATAAAATTAAATAAAAAATAAAATGTAAAAATAAGTACATTAAAATTAAGATCTAAAATAAAGTTAAGAGGCCCAAGTCTACTAAGTAAGGCTCTAGACTGTAAGATTACCAACCTAGCCTTCTAGTTCCCATATGTGATGTGATTCAGAAGAGAATGTTGGGGGGATGGCAGCCCAGTTCTTCAGGAATGAGGTGAGCCTAGTATGCTAAGCTCCATTTGTGCAGCACGCTGGACCTCAGGCAAGGGGGAGATGACCAAACGGAGCAACCTGGGCACTGTGGTATCATCCAACTCATTCATCTACAACGAGGGGGTGAAGGTGGATGGAGAGACCATCTTTTTTTGTATCACTTTTGATGCAAAATGAAAAACAATCTGCTCTCAGGAACAGCAAAATCATTAGGGCTGTGCTTGAGGGGTAGGGCTGTGCGTGAGGGGTAGGGCTGTGCGTGAGGGGTAGGGCTGTGGAGTGCATTTTTTGACAGTGTCATAGCATGTGATACAAAACGGCCCCACTGTGGCTGCAGCGGAGGAGGGTGGGTGTGTATCACAGGGGGAGGGGGCCACACAGGCAGTGACGTCACAGGTGTTGTTGGTGACACTCATGGCCCAGAATAACTTATCCCCCTTCCTCCTCCACATGTCACACAGCGTGCGGGCAGTCTTGGCCAATGGGAGAGAGGAGTAATTGCAGGGAAACCGCATGGGGCGGGGGTCTGGGCGGGGCCCATGACGCTCCGCCCACAGGGCTGAGGACCAAGGTTTTGATACCATTCAGGGTGACACTAACCCCTGATCAGGAATGAGTATGATGTTCAAAAGGAAAGTCACTTCACCTGCTTTCTAATTTACTAGACTGGTTGAAAGTATAACCTACTTGGGAAATGAACGGCACTTAACAACAACATGACTTAGTAAAAGACAGCTGGTATTATATGAAAAATGGAACTCATTTCTTACAAACAAGTAAGACTTCATTCTTCTAAAAGGACATTTAAATGATCTTTAATTTGATGCTCATAATGACAGTCCAAGTTAGGCAGAACATGACAAGTATTTTTATTCCTACTTTATTGAACCAAGAAGTAATAAAATGTTTACCTTTCATAATAGAATTAACATACAGGATTAAAAGAACTGTTAGGAATATTAAATGTATGGATAGAAGACGATAGTTGCATTTCCTTTTGATAATGTTCACCCATAGTCTTTTTTCTTTCCATTTGGAATGAAATCATGGTAATGAGACAATGATGAAATTCCAGTTAACAAAATTTAATTAATTTGGGCAATAAATCCAGAGCTCATCACTGAAGGAAATCTCTATTGTTAAATCTCTTGTTGATTAAGGATTTGTCTCTGAACAGGTTTTATACCTCCAGAATTGTGTGAAAATAAATTTCTGCTCTTTAAAAGCTACCTAACTTGTGGTATTTGTGTTATAACAGCCTTATGGGGTAAGATATCATCCTCCTCTTCCAGCCCTCACTGAGCCCACATGGCGTGAAGGCGCAGCAGGCTGAGGGCCATCCATAAACGGTGTGTGGCTGTGGAGTCTTCTGCAGTAGTTGAGTTACACTCTCATTCTGATTCAAGATGGGAGGTTCAAACCTACTAGCTGCTCCTTGGAAACCCTGTACAAGATCACCACAAATCAGAATGGACTCAATGGCACGTAACACCCACAACAACATGATGTTAATAAGGCCAGGTCTGAGGCAGTAGACAGGAGTGAATTAATCTGTTGCTTTGGCTTATTGTCCTTGATGTGGCTCAGTGGTCCTTGATGCTTCTAGAAGTACATTTTCTGTTTAATAACTGACATTAGGGGGCCAGTTGTGGGCTCCCTCCATATATATGTACAAAAAATGTGAAAAACCTAACCTTCTTGGCTATTCTGTTACCTGAGAGAATCACCAACACGCATATGACCCCAATATAGTCAAATAGGGATGGGGAGGAGAACAGGAGTTGATGAGCAAAGAGCCGATAAAAGTAAAAATGACCTCCTAGGGTAAAATGCAAGAGAAGCCAGAGGCCTAGGTGATGCCTGAGGTACCCTAAAGAGGCCTGTATAGGTCTGTCTGTGCATCCTAAAAAACAGTCGTAGTGCGGAAGGTTTTTTCTTATATGGATGTGACTACGGGTGTGTGTTCATGCTGACATATTTTATACCCAGGTTTTGGTACTTAAACTTGTTCATTCCTGAAGTCTTAGTTGTTAAGAGCAGGGTGTCTCCCTGATGCCTTTTCTCATTCACATCTCTACTGGAGTGATGCAAATGTTTAAACATTTGTCTACCAACTTCAAGGTTGGAGGTTTGAATGCACTCAGAGGTGACTTTGAAGAAAAGCCTAGTGATCTATGTTAGAGAAATCAGCCATTAAAAAACCTACGGAGTACAGGTCTACTCTTGACACAGAGGGGGTCGCCATGAGTTGGAGTCAACTTGATGGTAACTGATTTATAGTTTGGACACAATATGACAACATTTGGAGTCCTGTCTTTGGGTCCAACGATGTCAACCACAGCTCTGTATGTTCACAAAGACTGTCGATGGGCATAAAGAGACCACAGGAAGGAAAGAAACACACTGCAGATAGTACTTCTCCATAAGAAAACAGCTCTTCCTAAAAGTTCCAAGATCTACTTTGCTAATATAGGATGACTAAACTCGCTAAGTGGCACACTTGGGTATTTTAAATTTTTTTGTTTTTAATCGATACAAATTTATTGAGTTATAGTTCACACACAATATAATTCACCCCTTTAAAGTGCATAGTTTAGTAGATTCATTCAACAGTTGTGCAATCATCAACACAATCAATTTTAGAACATCATCATCCCCCAAAGAAACTCAATACCCATAGGCACTTACTCTCCAAATCTCTCAAACTTTCTCAGCTCTAGGCAATCACTAACCTACTTTCTGTCTCCATGAATCTGCCAATTGAGGACATTTCATATAGATAGAGTCAGATAGTATGTGGCCTTTTGTGTTGGTTTCTTTCACACAGCAAAATGTCATCAAAGTTGTAACGTGTTCTAGATTGAATTGTGTCCCCACAAGACATGTGTCAATTTGCTCAGGCCACAATTCTTGATAATATGTGGTTATCCTCCATGTACTTACCCTGTGTGTTGGAAATTCTAACCACTATGATGTTAATGAGGCAGGATTAGAAACAGTTATGCTAATGAGGTAGGACACAATCTATAGGGTGAAGGTGGATCTTGAGTCAATTTCTTCTGCGATATAAAAGAGATTAAATAAGCCAACAGAGGGCAGAGAGACCTGACTATCACCAAGTAAGAAGAGTCAGGGGTGGAGTGCATCCTTTCGACCCAGGGGTCCCTGTGCTGAGAACCAACTAGACCCAGTTTAAGAGAGAAGCCAAGGCACACAGAGATCTCCAACAGACTAAGAAGTAGAAGATGAAAAGACAAGAGCCTTTCTTAGGAGCCTACAGAGAGAAAGCCTTTTCCTAGAGCCGGTGTGGTCTGACTTCAGACTTCTAGCCTTTAAACTGTGAGGAAAAAATGGTTGTTGGGTTTTTGTTGTTGTTGTTGTTAAAGCCTTTCACTTGTGATATTTGTGTTACAGCAACACTAGATAACTAAAAGAGCTTGTATCTGTATTTCATTCCTTTTTACGGCTGAATAATATTTCATTGGCTACCACAATTTGTTTATTCTTTCTTCTGTTGACAGACATTTGTAATTGTATTTACTTTTTTGCTATTTTGAATAATGTTGTTGTGAATATCCACGTATGAGATTTTGTGTGGGCAGGCTATAATTTCTCTTGGGAACATACCCTGGAATAAAATTGCTAGATATGGCTGCTTTTTATAGTAAAGAAATTTAGTACATATTTCTTAAAATGAATAGCAGAAGCATAAATATTCTTTGTATTGTAATTCTTTACACCTTACACTTGTTTTGTAAATATTCTTTTGTATCTTTTCAGTTATTTACTAAAGCAAAAAAATAACCTAACATAGAAACAGTGATTTAAAATTTAAATATGCAATATTGATCAGTGATCTAGAATTACAGTATTTATTTATACACTAAATGCAATTTTTCAATATTCCACATACAAAAGTTTTTATAATGCTGAATATCTTTTCACGTGAGTTTTTATTTTTAAGTGGCACTGTGGGTTAATGTGCTGGACTGCAAAGTCAGTTTGAACTGCAAGGTTAGCAGTTCAAGCTCATCAGTCCCTCCGTGGAAACCTTATTCAGGGTCGTTATGGGTTGGAACCTACTTGACAGCACTTAACAACAACAACAACATTAGTAGAATGAAAAGATGAATTGAGGCAAGAATCCAGAAAGTGTAGGTCCTCAAATTCCACTCCACAGAATAGTGTTAGTAGTTGTTGAGCTGAATCTGACTCATGGTGACCCCAAATACAACAGAATGAAACTTTGTTTGGTCTTCACAATCTCTGGGAAATCTTAAGTCTATTGTTGAGATCACTAGGTATTTTGAGTATCTTCCAACCTAGAGAGCTTATCTTCCAGCACTATGTAAAACAACCTTTTGTTGTTATCCATAAGGTTTCACTAGTGAATTTGTTCAGAAGTAGATCCCCTTCTCAGTCTCGAAACTCCACTGAAATCTGTCCACCATGAGTGATCCTGCTGGTATTTCAAATCCTGGTAGCATAGCTTCCAGCGTCATAGCAACATGCAAACAACCACAGTACCATGACCTGACAGATGTGTGGTGTACCTATTATTGAAGCAGAAGAATGTAGGACCATTTCCAGTTAATCTCCAGGCACAGCACCTTGGTTCAGAGTGATTTGCTTCCCACAGCCCTCTGAATGACTGTTATTCTTATGGAAGTCTCTCTTTCTACCCCAACTGTATTTTATCTTAACTCAATCTCTGGCATCTCTTTCATTGGCCTGATTTACAGTCTCATCTCATTTCTGCTCTTTATTTGCATATCTGACTCCCTCCTCTCTAACTGTTCACTCACCCATTCTACAGATGATCCTCGTTAAAGCCTGGTGATCAATATAAAAAGTTTTAGGACTATATAGTACTGTTTCGTCACAAACCAACATTTACACAGCTCTTTCACTAAAATGGGAATACATAGAATAGTGATGTATATTTAAGTCAGGAGAGGTTACTTATTACAAGAGCTTTATAGCTGGCTTTCTAAAGCACACATACTATGTAGAGAATTGATTCCACTTTCCCTGAAAAGATAGGTTTCCCTTAAAGTTTATAACCAGTACCAGTTTCCATTTAGTAGACACTGACTCACAGTAACTTCGTGTGTGTCAGAGTGGAATCGAGTTCCACAGGCTGTTCAACAGCTAAATTTTTGTTCAGAAGTAGATCATCAGACTTTTCTTCTGCGATATCTCTGGATAGACTTGAATCTTAAGTCCACAGGCAAGCACGTTAACTTTTTGTATAACCCAACAACCCACTGCCATCGAGCCAATTTTAACTCAGATTAACCCAGTAGGACAGAGAAGAATGGTTCCTTAGGGTTTTCTAGATTGCAAATCTCTATGGGAACAGATAGCTTCATCTTTCTGCATCATCTAGAGACTCCTAAAAGTTTATAGTATATTGGTTAAGACCTCTGGAAAGGGATTACTTAACAAGTAATGAACTATGTTAAGTTTTAGGGACAAATGTCAATCAAGTGATCAACTTTAAAAGGGAGTCAGTAAAAGAAGGTACATACCTGTTTTTGTAATCCTTTAGGACCCTGTTAGTGTAAAAGGTGGCTGCGTCATTCATCTCCTTGACATAAGGACCAGGTTTGGGGGACTGAGAGAAGAGCACCATCACCCAAGCATAGAAGGAAACAAAAAAACAAAACAAAAAACAAATAACAGGATAAGAAAGAAAATATGTCAAGGAAGAAGAAAAGTACTGGAGATGATGCCTTGAAAGTTGGAGGCAAATTCTGGCAATATAAAGATTGGTGAAATGCTTTCCACCCACAGAACATAAAGCTTTTAACTTCGCACAGGGTCAGGAGGGGCTGACGAATGCCACCTGAAAGGAATCTCCCGTGGTGCATCAGACTGTGGAGCAGGAGTATGGATGTGAAAGCAGAAACTACAACTTTAGGTGTTCTCCTAAACACTGCAGAACTGTGACTGGGTGCAGAAGCCATTATGCCTGGACTCACCACAGCTATCCACCCCAGAGCAGGGATGCTTTCACTGACAGCTGAAAGATGATTAAACATGTTGCTCCCCCGGTTTCGCTCTCTGAAAGTTTGGATTTCCTGAATCTTTTCCGAGATTGGTTTCAGCAGTGCAGTCACGTCATTCTGTAAAGCAGACAAACGTTGAGGACTGTTAGTAAGGACAGAACAGACACATAGCACCTCAATCGACACCGGTCTAAGCTGGCATACTGAGGACTTTCCATTTGTCCAGGGACCTCAAAGAAACATACAATGATCTTAATGTATGGGGTCTAGAAAATCACCTGCTGTTTTGGTTATGGTCATACTGTATTTTAGTACCTTGCGGGCTTTTACACTCCATATATTTTTCTTCTATATTTTATCAGGCTTTTTTTTTTTTTTAAGTTTTTATTGTGACTTATGTGATAGTTTACAAGGCAGAACATTAGCTTTACATTTAACCTATCTTATTTTGTTTCATTGCAATGATTACAATCCCCTGCATGTATCATCAAACAACCAAAGGGTATACCCCGCAAGCCTGCCCCCTGGCCATCAACACACAACCCCTCTCCGTTCCTGAGACCAGAGTCCCCAGCTGCTCCATCTCTCCACGTCATTGTCTCTGCCTCCATCTCTGGCATCGTTGTTGCTCTGGATAGGGTCCCACATTCTGCTCTTCTCCTTTGGTGGTCCCAGGGTCCTCCACTCCTGGACTATAAATAAGATCAACCACTCCTCTCTTTTAGTTACAAAACGTCTACCTTTACATTTGCAACACTCACAATCAGTCCTGATAGCAATTATTCACTATTGACCCACAAGAGTCTTATCCCCATCTCCTTTCACCAGTCCTGTCCAGACAGGTTGGAAAGTACTCAGTGAAGATTCTACTTTTCCCTGTACCCTCTGGAACTAGGCTCCCTCTTGAAAGCTTATAAGCCAGTCACTTTGTGCGTTTGTAACGCCCCCATTTTAGGTAGCTAATGTCTAAGTTGCCCATCCCTGTCAACCCTGTGTATGGAGAGGTTGGGAATGATCCTTGCTGTAAAGATTTGTTCCTGCTTTTGAGTTACTACATCCACAAGCACAGGCCAAGTTCATCAAATTGTAGCACACTACTCTTTTTTTCCTCTTCTTTCTTCCTCTAGTCAAGTTCTGGTCATCTAGCCATTGAAGCCAGTGTTGGGAGCAGCTGAACCAAAGGCCCCTGACTTGGGGATAGTTTAACCAAAGGATTGCAATTGAATAGTTGTGGTCCAGAAACTCGGGCTGCTTGCAAGTCAAGCTCTGCCCCTGAGGAACTTGCAGGGCTGCCTCACGGGACAGAGAACTTGCAAAGTCTTTCCATTTATTTACCTATGTCCTTCGGCTCAGCCTGCACAACATTCTAGCTGCCCTAATCAGTGTTCCAGCTAGCTATCATAAGTTACAGTTTTTCTGATAAAGTTTCACTTACTGCTGGTTCCTTCAATACAAGATGTTCTTGTACTCCTTACCCTCCCTCAAGCACCTCCCCTTGAGCTGTGTATAAAATAAACTCTCTGCCTTGGTTTATGCTGCAGTATCTCCATCAGAGTGCTGCGTCCCACCTTGACTTATTTCAGTTGTGTCTTGTGTTTTTCTTTTATTTCTCATCTTTCATCGCCCCTATTCAGGTTTAATCTCTCTGTGCGGGCTGCGGAGAAAGGCCAATTGTTGGATGCGGCAGTTGGCCCCAGCAGTTGGTTTTTATCAGGAATGGATGTTGGATTTTGTCAAATGCCTTTTCTGTATCAATTGATATGATCATGTGGTTCTTTTCTTTTTTCTTATTTTATTCCAGAAGCTCTTTAACTATCTCTTCTGTGGACTTCTGTGATTCTTCCTGTTCTGGAAAGACAATAATTCTTAAGTTATTCCTCTTCATGTTATCCAGCATGAATCTTAGACTCTCTTCAGACTTTTAATCTTTTTTTCTGCTTGCTCTTCTATCTTAGCAGTATTGAGAGATTTGTCTTCCAGATTGCTGGTTCTGGCTTCCATCTCTTGCATTCTGCTCCTTTGCCCTTTCAGTGTATTGTCCATTTCTGATAATTTATTGTTAATTATCTGGACTTCTTTTTGCAAGTTTTGGGTTGTTTCCAATGCTGTATCTATCTTGTTTGATTGCTCCTATAGCAGTTTCCTGACTTCTTCCTTATTTTCCTCCACCCCTTTTTCGGAGTGCTTGAATTTGTTTCCATATCATTCTTCTGAATTTCTTCTCAGGTAGATCCAGAGCCTGCTCTTATACTGGGAAGTCTGTATTTGCTTCCAGCTCATTTGTCCTAGTTACTTTTTTCTGGTTTTGGCCATGTGTTGAAATCTTTAATTGTGTTTTCTTGGACATTTTCAGAAGTTATGTGAGTTTTTAATGCTTAAATGGATGTATGTTACTTGTTGTTAGCTTGCTGAGTGTCTCCTGGTGGATATGATCTGGAGATAGGCTTCCCTTTTCATGTGTAATGCCTTACAGCTGGTTTTGGCTCTTGTCCAGATGGTGGGGTACTATAGGGTATGCTTGTAGCTTGCCTATATGGGCACAGTTTCTGTCTCTTCTTCGGTAAGGTAGGGGGAGAAAGCTGCCACCCCTGGGAGAAGAGTGAGGCCAAAAGGACCAAAGGCAGAAAAACAATATAGAAGCAGAGACAGAAGCTACCAATCAAAAACAAAAATAAAATTGTGATTGACACTGTTCACTGGCCTTTGCTGTGCAAAGGATCCCACCTAGGTTAACTATGGGATCGGTTCCTAGGGTCAAAATGTCATAAGCAGCAGCCTGCGGGTTTCCTCTCTATGCTGTTGGAAAACTGTGGGTGCAATGCTGGACCCTTTTGGGGGGTGTGCTCCCGCCCGCCTGAAGGCGTCAGGGCTGTGCAGTGAGGGTGCGATTGGGGTGAAGAGGAGAGATATGCTAAAAATGAAAAGTGAAAGAGTTGGTCACACCTCTCCCTTCAGATGCGTTGTTCTCCATGGCTTCTAGCACTGGGTCGCTTCCTCTGCTTGGCTGACATCATCTTCTTTAGAAAGACTGGAAAGCATGGGGATTCTGTGAGCTCTTGGGCCCCAGGTGATGAGGTACAGTTGTATTGGTCAGTCCTGGGAATCTCTCTCTCTCTCTTTTTTTTTTTTTTTGACAATAACCAAGTTGAGAACATTCAGGTTGGCATCCACAATACAACCCTGGAAAGATTTGTGCTTTCTTTCTCCAGCCCTACTTGGTCTGTAAAAAACCACCTTACTCAGAAGCGGGAGGATGCAGCCATGGGTCAAGACACCCTGCTTCCTGGAAAAACCTTGCTTGTCTTTCCCACCACTGATGCGGCCAACATCACCTTTCCACTCCTTACCCAACAAGTCATTAGTAACTTCTATGGCCACTCGCTTCTCATACAAAGTGCCAAGTTTGCGTTCATCATCTACTTCAATGAGTTTCTGGCAGCCATTGGCTGGGAAGGAGATGTTCAACTTCATGGTGAAGCAGACAGTGGCCTCCACAGCACCACAAAAAACAGCAGTCCACATGTTTTAAAACATTATTAGTGCTGTCTCCTGGGACATGGAAAACCCCAACAGCATCTTTGCTGTTATTGTTAGTTGCTGTAGAGCTGTTCTGACTGATGGTGATTGCATGTGTGTAGAGTAGAACTGTGCTCCATAGAGGTTTCAGGAACCAGAGCAGCAAGCCTTTCTTCGGAGGTACCTCTGGGTAGGTTCAAACTGCCAGCATTGTGGCTAGTAGTTGAATGCTTAACCAATTGTGCCATCCAGGGACTCCACAGACCCTATTTTGGAAAATCCTGTATGGAACACAGTGAAATTGAGTGGTTCAATTTTATTTTCAAATGCAATGCATAAATCACACACTGGAATAGCATGAGTATAAAATGGGGGTGAGTTAGAGTGTAATGTTGTTGTTAAGTTCTGTCAAGTCAGTTCTGACTCATAGTGACCCTGTACAGGGTTTCTGGGGAGTGGCTTGTGGGTTTGAACCGATGGTGGATTTGAACTGCTAGTCTTGTGGTTAGCAGTCCAGTGCTGATCTTACAGTGCTACACCTGGACTCATAGATGCTTATGAAATGTCCCTGCCCACTCCTTTTGCATTCTCTGCTTTAGTTTATTTATTTTTTGGGGTTGGGAGAGATTGGTGATAATCTTTCTTAGTTCTTCTATAGTGGAGTAGTTATGAGTCGGGCTACTAACCTCAAGGTCAGCAGTTGGAAATTTCTAGCCATTCTGTAGGAGAAAGATGAGGCTTTTTGCTTCCATAAAGATTTACAGCCCTGGAAACCCTACATAGGGTCACTATGAGTCAGAACAGACTCCATGGCACACAACCAACGAACAAACCAACAAGATCTTCTATGGTGTTTGATTTTCCAATTCTAATCCAAGAAAGATCAGAGGTTGTAGATATTACATGGAGACTCTCTGACAAGGAACAGGTCACAGGGGTATGATGGGAGTGGATGTCATGGGATAGCTGGGATGGGACGTGAATTGTTCTGGGTGTGGAGGGTTCTTACAAGCTTTGTGTCTCAGGGAGCATAGCTGTCACTCAGGCAGGCAATGCTGGCCTGGGCCACTTTAGGTGGTGGTAGTAGTGCTATGTCTGACTCATAGTGACCCTGCATAGGTTGTTGTTGTTGTTAGGTGCCATCGAGTCAGTACCGACTCATCGTGACCTTATGTACAGCAGAACGAAACACTGCCCGATCCTGGGCCAACCTCACCACTGTTGCCACGTTTGAGTCCATTGATGCTGCCACTTACAGGTAGACAGCATCATATTCATTCTTCAGAGTTGTCACAACATTCTCATGCACACTGTTGACCATCAGGTTCTTGTCCCCAGTCTGCAACCTCCTGTCCTGTGGGTGCCCAACCCCCCTTTCGATGATCATAGATGCTAGTATCTCCGGGCATGCGTTGGTTCCCTACACCCCCTGTGATGCTGAAGCCAAGACCTTTAGGCCCCTTGATGAACTTGAGTTCCATGATCTCAGCCGGGAGCTTCTGGTGCATGATATAAAGATTTCTTCAAAGGTCTCCACCTCTGCTGAGACAGTCACTCTCATCTCATCTTTGGTCCCATTCACCTACATCTCAGATCCCGGG